CAGTATTTTTCGGTATCTACAAAAATTAAATTGTATACATGTCATTCTTAATAATCTACGCTAATAATTATCAATAATAAAAAATGTTGGTTTCTTAAGGATAGAAATAACATACTTAGGGTCTTTTCCTGAAATCCGTAACAAAGCGTCAGCCAGTGTTAAAGGAGAAGTTTGTAGGACAGCCGATAAGAAAACCAGTAAAAATTTGGAATTTGTAAAGTAAACACTAGGACATGGTAGTTCATCTGGAAAAGCAGGAATTTTCTTATTTCCACGAATCAAAGTACTGAGCGAAATAATGTATACGATTATGCCATTTTGATAACAGTTTGTTTATCCCTTTACTGTGTAGTCTGGCAAGGCTAGTCAAGGCGATGAAGTCTGCCTTCCCCCACACAAAAAAATGGCTAGATAATTTTGAAAAAAGTACACATCTGTTGGGGCAAGGTCTGGTGAGAACGTTGGGTGGAGGAGAGCTTCTAGCTCATCATCATCTTTCTTTAGCGCACTGATTAGGTGCTGTAAGGAACCACTGAGACGAACGCTTACGGTTGTCGTACAGGATCCACTTTTCAACGAAGGTGACAATTCAAATTAGAATTTCTTCATTTCCTTACCGATTCAGTAGCATGCTTCGACGCATAAGTCCGGCTGTTCATCGCTTAGTTCGTGTGGCACCCTTTTATCTAGCTTTTTTATTTTTCCAGATTTAAAACGATTGAACCAATAATGGACAGTGTTATGCAAATTTTAGAGCGTACTTGTCATTAATGTTTCGTGATGTTTGCGCAACGCAATTTTCACGTAGAAACTCAAAAAATTCACAAAAGTTAAAAATAATGAAGATATTGTTATTAGCGATACAGTTTAACTAAGCGTACCATTTTTTGCTCAACTGGCTCATTAGTTAAGTTTAGCCTGTAAAATATCAGTATCGGATTCAATCAGTCAGTAAGTTGTTTCTAAGCTAGAAAAATTGTGCTACTTAGGCAGTCAGGGACCGCAATAAACATAATTAAATGTGTAGTCACGCCACTTAAATACAAAATATAATACTTGTTTATACAGAAAAGGTATATAACATAAACCACGTGTATAAGACACTAGTCACGTACTTGCCTATAAAGAAAAAATCTAATCAAGGACAAACATACGTCCGTCAACTTTGTTTTTCTCGTAATATAATGCAATCGCAGCCCCGTTCTATATTATACGGTCTACATTACCTCAACCTCACCCTGTTACTAGGTTTTCAATACTCACTAAATTTATTTCTTTTTCTACTTATTGTGGTCAGATTTAATAAGTCCCTTAGCGTCAAAGGCTTCTCTGTACTTGTAGCACAAGCGTAAACTTTTACGCTTTGTGGCCTGAAAAATAAAAACGATGTCTCCAAAGGCAGAACCAACTACGATTTCATTGTAACACAAACGTTTCTCTGTTTTATATATTAGGGTAACGGGAGAATAGTGTTATGTTAGCCTAATCGTATTGTATGATTACTAATCTAGCTGAGGTATATAATAGATTTTAATTATTTTGGAAATAAGTTGTGCTAGCTAGAAAAAAGTAAGTAAATGGCGCGATTAAGCCACTTCTTTATAGGTGAACAGATGTAAATCTTATTTAAATAAAAAACAGATCGTGCTTTCAAATCCCTACTTTGAAGAAATAAACTACATAAAATATGATAAATAAAAAAACTATTAAGGTATATTATTATATGTAAAATTTACAACTTACAGTATTTTCTTTGTAGCCGCTACAATTGTGAGATTAACGACATAGTCGACTGGTATAAGATCCAAAACGTTGCGTCCATTCCCGGACACAACTCTAAGGATGCCCTTGCTGGTTGTTCCAATTAAACCAGTTGCCCCATTCCAATTGTCTATCCACCCTGGGATCGGTTCTGATAGACTTGCAGTTACTAGAAAGGAAAAAATAGAGTGACCTATAAAATATTCTGGTGATGTGGTTTCGTAACTTGAGCGCATAATTAAATTTATAACTTTGTTTCCTACAAAGTTGTGAGAAACTACTGGAATAATCATTCCTTTAAAGAAAGGTTAAGACAAATTCAAACTTTTAGCCCAACATTAGATATGCTCCTTTCATGGTCTTATTAAAGAACACTCTACATACCAATTGAAGGTCTTATAATAATAACGGGAACATGACCATGTTTTTCCGCCAACAAAGCCTCTCCCAGCTTCTTAGAGAATGTGTATGCGTTTGGCTCATCTCCTGAAAAATTTTCGTCATGAACTTATAAAATAAATTTCGTTCGCTCTATCTCACTCTCTCTCTCTATCTTTCTCACTTGCTTGCTCCCTACTCTCGCTCCATGGCTATTTGCTTCATGCTACGTTCGCCCTTTCTCGCTCTCTCTCAATCGGTCTCAATCGCTCTATCCCTTTTCTTCGACAAAAACGCTACACATCTTCGTGACGCTTAAATTATTGTTATAGCGTATCATCCGTTAAACTTTTACCCTCATGCGCCTAAAGAAGTTTCACTTCAAAAATACTTGAAAGGAACAAACGTATACTATGTGTAACGTACACGGATGTGGGCCTGAAGCAATCTGCTTTCTGAATATCACTTCGAAATATTTCTACGAGATTAGGAAACTATTAATCATTGACTTACGTATTATTGTTTTAGTTCTCTCTTCATCTGGCTGTTCTTTTATCAAATGATCAACCATGCTCAAAGGGATTGGTGATGGGTAAACTTTCTCTTCGATAAATATTTTGTGTGTATTTGAATACACTGTTGAAACGTGGACTAGGACCTATATATGTTGAACAATTTCAATGCTTTAGTTAAAGCAATTATATTTCCTATTCAATATATACAAAATAAAAAAAATAGTGGCGCTACAACCTCTTTAGGTCTGGGCCTCAGATTTCTGTATCTTTTTCATGATCATTTGTCAATATAATAGGCAAGTAGGTGATCAGCCTCATGTGCCTGACACACGATGTCCATTTTTTTTTTTGGTTCAAGGCAAGTTGTTCTCACGATGTTTTCCTTCACCGTTCGAGCGAATGTTAAATGTGCACATAGAAAATCTATTGTTGCACAGCCGCGGATTGAACGTTTGACCTCAGGGATGCTGAACCACTAGGCCATGACTGAACATAATAATATTATAATCCCCTTATTCTTAACTGTAAGTCTGATTCTCTTAATGCCCCACCGAACAAGATGGAGTGAGGCGGCGTGACTGAGCTTACATTACGCGCTCATTGATGTTCTCTTCTGTTTTAGTACGTATTTAAATATAAAATAAAATATTTTTATTCGTTATTTATTATTTATTTATTTATTTATTTATGCATTACAATTGGTAGATTTAGTCACCCTTTTAAGAAATACCTGTACAGGTATTACTTAAAAGTTATTGCACATTTAACCGAAATACAATTTGATGTATATGCATATATATTTTATTTATTCCTCATATTTAATTTCATTTCAAAATATTTTTATTGAAACTTTATTATTTTTATCGACACCGTTATCGTAACCTGAGTGAAGTACGTACGCCAGTGCGCTTTGTGACTAATTATATATCATTTTGTAATCGTTAAAATATTAAATGTATTAATAATTTAGGTTATTTCATCTACCCCATTCAATTTTTACAATTTAGAAAAGTGTATAAGACGCTACCGAAAAACATTTTGTTTGAAATTATATGAGTTACCAAATCGGTCGTTCAACCAATTTTCCCTGTAATTTCAATCTAGAGTTTTATGACAATTGACTTACCTCCAGCTTCTTCATACATTTACATAAAGATAATACTCTCTCAGTACCCTTGACGTTTATGTTGAGCAAATTGTGTAGCGGCTCGATAAACTTGATCAATGCAGCCGAATGAAATACGTATGATACCTAAGAATTTATAAATTTAACTAAAAATATCAATAAGCTACAACAAAATAGTTTAATGAGAGTTTGAGTTGAGAGAGAAAATAAATCAAATTTTTCTTCTAAATCATTCTTGGCAAACTAGCACTAGACCGATGCGGGAGTAAACAGGATATTAATTCAGTCTTGATATTAGTGTTTAAATTATGGCGACTGCTATACATACATACCTCATTAATAAGCGTTACTTTGTCTTCTGGGGATATACCAAGACCTTCCTGACTTACGTCACCGACTATCGGTTCTATTTTGTCAATAAATTTCGCATTCTCTCTATTAAGTCTTGAAAATACCTAAAAATAATTTGATTAGTTCAAGGCCAATGCTTTTTTTCATATTTAAATACATATTACTATGATAATATATCTTACTGGTAGCTCTAGCATAGTCTTAAGGCGCTCTTGAACCGTCAATCCCCGCTTCCCTCTAAGAAGTATGTAGATTTTTTTAACATCGGAACAACTGTAGAGAATTTTCTCTAAGAGTACCTTTAAATAAAATATATAATAACATGAAGAATACCTTACGGAAAAAGCCTAAAGGGACACTAAATAATGGTACACAGGTGTCATTATTAAATTCAAATTCAAAAATCATTTATTCACGTAGGTAACACAATGTACACTTGTGATTCGTCATTAAAGAAACAAAAAAAAATCGTCATTAAGCACAATTATTGTACCCAGTACCTACACCATTTGAGGCATGAGAATATACATGAAATTATATACTGTATGTACATCCAAACAAAAAAATACCACTGAACCTTTTTTTAGAAAAGGCCCTAATCAATATTTGACACCTCATTTGATCTGCGTACTTACTTACTATTAAGCCAAACAGAACATCAGCCATTATATGTGTACAAACATAACGCACAATTAATATGTGTAGAAAATTAATATTATTCTTGAAGAAAGTTGAAAGAGTAAATTTCCAATTTCCACTTAACATAATGTTAATACATATATAGATATACGTACTTTTCCCAAGAATCCTGTACAACCAGTGACAAAAATGCTTTTTCCGGCGTAAGACTCTGCTACTGATTGACACATCTCACACTGCGGTATACACAATTAAATTGAATAGCGAGTTATTGGATATTATAAAAATTTCGTCTTTCCACTTCGGTTCTTGATCTTGAATTAAGTTTATTAATCGTAACATACAAATTTTACATATCTTTTTGGTCCAGTGCATCTAAATATTTTCATTGTTATAATATTCCCATGACATTAGATGTCTTATACAAAAAAAAAGGGTCCGTGTACTTATGTACGCGCGTAAGAAGTTATACTTCTTTGGCAATATTAAAAATAGTTTGGCTTTGTTCCACCTCCAGTTTTTGATGTTTCACAGCGATAAGATGAAAACTCTTTTTTTGTATTCAATTTAGTGCAGTTACACTGATTCATCAATTGTTTTTTGTCTCTTTTCCTTATATTTGCTAGATAAAATCAGAAAAATTACATGTTTTGATTAAACAATGTGGTTAATTTTTTAATCAAAACCTTACTCGATAATAATAATAATACATACGGATAGTTAACCTCAATTGTATTGAAGCACTTAGGAAGGTTGATGAGCACAGTTTTTTCACAAATATTAATTAGTATTGGTTTAAATATTCAATTTAAATCACTTCTGATTATAATTCAAAAAGCATCGCTAAATTTCTTTGAAAAAATAATTAAAACTCCTTTATTTGTTTAAAAGGTAAATGACAAATGTCATTATGGTCATTCAAAATTGTTGGCATACGAACTTCACGCATATTCTATTTCTTTTTACTTGTAGATTGTCTTATTCCTATCTCGCTCGCGCACGCTATAATCACACTCCTAATTTTGTGTCACGGGTGCGCGCGCATTGTAAAATTTCACTCTCATAAATTTGTCATAACGCGCCTAAAGAAGTATAACTTCAAAAATTAAACCTGAATAATATACACTGACGGACTCATAAACTGCATCAAAGTAAAAAACGACTTTGAAATAAATATTTTAACCAACTATGCAAACTTTCTACACAGATTTAAATTGAAACGTCTAGATTGGTTCGTTAACTTTAAAACAGCGTTGGGTCATATCCTTAAGTTTAAGTTTGTGTACTGGAAAGGACCTTAAAACGTTTTTGAAGAAAAACAGAAATTTAAAGAAAATTGTTTTAATTAAAAAATTGGTTTTAACAATAGACACAAGCTTTATGCAAGGGTTTTTTTATGTTTTAATAAGGTGTATTACCTCCACGTACCCTTGTTATGGATTCTAATCGGTTCCGCATAGATTTGATTAGGGTTATTAAAACATCTTGCGGAATATTGTCCCATTCTTCTGAAAGTGCTATTCTTAGTTGTGCCACTGTCGTAGGCACAGGATTTCTCGCATATACAGCTCTTTTTAAATTGTCCCAAAGATGCTCAATGGAATTAAGATCCGGGCTGCTGCGCTTTTTACTGGCGTCGGGACGTGACGACCCCATCGCCCACTGGTGAAATAACCTGTGACAGAGGTTATTTCATCAGCGCAATCAGTCAACCCCTTCCTAGTGGGAGTGCCATGCTGTTGCCTTCGGGCTTCAGCCAAATGGGCAGGCACGACCGGGGCAGTACCACTGTCTCTCAGAAAACCGGCGTGAAGTGAGGCAATAGGTTCGCCTTATTGTACTCGCGTTTCGTACGGTGAGGGAGACTCCCGGAGCCCATCCCCCCCCCATATGAAATATGAAGGTGCAGAACAAACAGAATCTACCCCAGGGGGGTACCACACGTGAACGCGGTGGAGAATCCCCCTCTGAGCGTCCAACACCGGGACACTCAGCACCCGGTAGTGGACGCACAGGCTGCCCTTCGTATTCTGGGGGGGGCAATTCTGCGCTCGGTAAAAAAAACATTAATCGTTCTCGGGGCAAACGGAGCAATTCAACTAAGGCACCCCCGTCCACACTCGCCGTGGACTTCACAAATGTTAGGGGGCTCCATTCCAACATCAACGCTGTCCACTACCACTTAGAGACTGCGAAGCCGGCCTTGCTCTTTCTTACCGAGACTCAGGTATCCCCCCCGGCTGATACTTCCTACCTCTCCTACCCGGGGTACAAATTGGAACATTCATTTGTGCCGCGGGCGGGAGTTTGCGTGTACGTCAGAGAGGATATCTGTTCTCGTCGCCTCGGGACGCTTGAAGGAAGGGACCTATCTAACCTCTGGCTGCGCGTAGACTGCGATGACCATCCGCGATTCTACGCATGCCTGTATAGGTCCCATAGCGGAAATACCGAAACTGACCGACTCATTGAGCACATCCAAATGGCTACAGATTCCCTGCTCGAAAGGGTTCCTACCGCTGAAATCGTGATACTTGGCGATTTTAACGCCCACCATGCCGATTGGCTCGGCTCAGAAACCACCGATCATGCGGGAAGATCCTTTCACGACTTTGCTTTGGCTTACGACTTGACGCAAATGGTCCCTGCGATTACGCGAATACCAGATGTGGATGGTCATAAACCCTCTTTGTTGGACCTTCTGCTGACTTCACATCCGGAGAACTACCAAGTCTCTGTTGAACCGCCATTGGGTTCATCAGATCATTGTGTGGTCCGGAGCATTGTGCCGTTCACGCGCCCTCTTCAGGTTCACGGGCTGTCGCCGCGTGTGGCACTATAAGTCAGCAGATTGGGATGGGATGCGGTCTTTTTTTGCGTCCTACCCTTGGGGGCCCATTTGCTTTTCGTCGAGTACTCCAGATGCCGTCGCTGACTCTGTCGCCGAGGTTGTTCTGCAGGGTATGGAACTTTTTATTCCATTCTCTGCGGTGCCGGTCGGTGGCAAGTCCCAGCCTTGGTTTAGGCGTTCTTGCAAAGCGGCTTTGCGCCGTAAGCGTGAATGCTTTAAAGCCTGGGCAGAAGCGGTGACATCCTGTGATGTGACTATCGGCGAACGTAAAAAAGCATACAATTCAGCCTCCAGGTCCTTCAAGCGAGAAATCACTAAAGCAAAGTCAGAGCACATTGCCAGATTTGGTGAAAAATTGGCCCACCTCCCTTCGGGAACTCGAGCCTTCTGGTCTCTTGCCAAAGCTGTCCAAGGGAATTTCTGTCAGCCCTCAATTCCACCACTGCATAGGGAGGATGACTCACTGGCCCATACCGCGAAAGAGAAGGCCGATCTTCTAGGCTGTCTCTTTGCGTCGAACTCCACTTTGGATGATCAAGGGAATGAACCACCGACATTATTGCGGTGTGATACTACGATGCCCGAAGTTATATTCCGGCAACGTGCTATCCGTAAAGCTTTGTCTTCCTTGGACATCCATAAGTCGAGCGGGCCCGATGGCATCCCTCCAATTGTGCTGCGTACTTGTGCTCCTGAGTTGGCTCCGGTTCTAACGCGCCTTTTCCGGTACCTTTACACGCTCGGCACTGTTCCGAAGTGCTGGAAGATCGCTTCGATACATCCGATCCCTAAAAAAGGCGATCGCTCTGATCCGTCCAACTATCGCCCAATAGCTATAACCTCCTTGTTCTCCAAAATAATGGAAACCATTATTAACAGCCAGCTCCTGAGGTATCTAGAGGGCCACCAGCTGATTAGCGATTCTCAGTACGGCTTTCGTCGTGGTCGCTCAGCTGGTGACCTCCTTGTATACCTTACACATAGGTGGGCAGAGGCAATTGAGTCCAAGGGGGAGGCGCTGGCGGTAAGTTTGGACATAGCGAAAGCCTTCGATCGGGTGTGGCACAGAGCACTGCTCTCGAAGCTTCCAGCCTATGGGCTCCCTGAGAAATTATGCAACTGGATTTCCAGCTTTCTCGCTGATCGGAGCATCAAAGTCGTCATCGACGGAGCATGCTCCGACCTGAAACCTGTGAATGCTGGTGTCCCACAAGGCTGTGTCCTATCCCCGACCCTGTTTATTCTGCATATCAATGATATGTTGCAGCTTAGCAACATTCATTGCTATGCGGACGACAGCACTGGGGATACTTTTTACACTGGCCGGGCAGGTATTTCTCGGGCTGTTGTCGATGAGTACCGGAACAAACTTGTGTCTGAAGTCGAAACTCTTCTACGTGGAGTCTCGGACTGGGGTAGACTAAATCTAGTCCAATTTAACCCCAAGAAGACACAAGTTTGCGCGTTTTCCGCTAAAAAAGTCCCTTTGTCGCTACTCCCCTCTTTGAAGACACTGTCCTTAAAGCCTCAGCTAGCATCGGAATACTGGGCGTTGACATATCGAATAACGTTCAGTTTCGCGGTCATCTGGAAGGAAAGGCTAAATTAGCCTCCAAAAAGCTTGGTGTGCTCAGCAAGGCGAGACGGTACTTCACTCCGGGCCACCGCTTGCAACTATATAAAGCGCAAATTCGGCCCCATATGGAGTACTGCTCTCACCTCTGGGCGGGAGCTCCCCAGTACCAGCTCCTTCCACTTGACCGTATTCAACGAAGAGCGGTTCGAATCGTCGACGACCAGTCACTTTCCGTGCGGCTTGATCCCTTGGCGTTGCGTAGAGATGTGGGATCTCTCTGCATCTTCTACCGCATTTACCATGGAGAGTGTTCAGAGGAGTTGTTCGGTCTAATACCTGCAGCTGAGTTTCATCAACGGACGTCAAGGCAAAATACAAAATACCATCCGTATCACCTCGACGTCCGTCGTTCCACAACAGAGCGTTTTCTAAGGCAGTTTTTGCCGCGCACCACCACTATGTGTAACCAGCTGCCCACAGAAGTATTTCCGAACCAATTCGACTTAGGGTCCTTCAAGAAAAGAGCGTACCAATTTTTGAAAGGCCGGCAACGCACTTGCGAGCCTTCTGGCATTGTGAGTGTCCATGGGCGGCGGTGTCACTTAACATCAGGTGAGCCTCCTGCCCGTTTGCCTCCTATTACATAAAAAAAAAAAAAAAAAAAAAAAAAGGGAAGTTGTTACAATAAATCGGTCATCACGACCGGTGGTTGCTCGAGTTTTGCCTGTACCACGTCTCCTTTTGTAAGAACCTGTCTCCACAAACCTTCTATATATTCTAGAAACCGTAGACTGGTTTAAACT